TAATTCGCTTTAAATTAAATAATCCTAACCTTGTTCTAAATAAATGATATACATACATGATAAGTGATATAATTTCTTTTAATATCATTTTATATTTAAAATGCAAGTTTTTTGAAATTCGAACAAACTGACGAAATCTCAATAAAAACAGTCAACTCAATTAGCTGAATTAAGTAATTAAATACAAGAAAAAAATTAAGCTTCTTTACCTGCACACACTAGTTTTTTTTTTATAACAGAAGGGGGCAAACGAGCAGCGGAAACACCGAGTTTATCCATTCTCTGTCCATAGACATCCGCCTTTGGAGATTTGATGCCTTCCATTAATTGACTTGCTTTTCCTAAGCGTCCCAATGCATTCTCGTAATATTTACGTACATTCTGCCTAAGATATTAGGGCCGGTGGGTGTTGAGTTGATCACTTGATCAGAGTTTTTATTAAGTTACTTAAGTTGCTTTATAAAAATGACAATTACCTAACTTTCTCTTGAGTGAAATTGAATTACGAAATTACGAACACGTAAAAAAAACTTGATGTTAAATTCGCTTTGTTAAGCATAAGTTTTTAAATCTAGTTAATCACCTAATGGATTAAAGATATAACGAATTTATTGATAAAATTAATAGTATATAAATAACATAAAATCACTAATTCAGTGTCAGTCTACTTCAGGCTAAAAGTAAGTACTAACATTGATATTTTTATAATACTTTCTCCGAAGTCTAGAAGTTGATTTAAGACTTAATTATTTTATAACAATCATTTCTTATAAATTAATTTAGTATACTATTCATCGCTTATTTTCGTAGTTTCCTTGAGCCTTGTGTTATTTCAAAAACTTATAAGTATAGTACGGATTATGTTTCTTTTAATTACTCTTTTTAACAATAGCCACATTTTGATTTGCCTTTACTTTTTCAGAGAAGCATCATGAAATTAGCAATCGCTTTTGCGCTCTTCGCTGCGGCGTCAGCTAGCATCATTCCGCCTTCGGTGGTCGCCAGCACCAACCCAGAGGTGCAGGAGATCCTCGCGGCCATCCAGAATCCGGCTACCGACCCTGTCACCGCTGCTGCCCTCGAGCAGTTGCTCCTCGAAGTTCTCGGTGTTGCCAAGCCAGAGCCTATTCACGTTGGACCTGCTATCGTTGACAAGGAGCCTATTCACGTTGGACCTGCCATTATTGACGAGTATGAGCCAATTCATGTCGGACCCGCTATCGTCGATAACTACGAGCCAATTCATGTTGGGCCTGCTATCGTACAACCTGCGCCTGTTGCTTCAAGTCCCCTTGTTCAGATCACCTTAAACGTGCAGTCGTCATCTGACGTCGCTATTGAATCGGACCTCTCCCCCGCACCCACCCCCGTGCAAGTTGTTGAAGAAGCTGAGGTACCAGAACCCATTATCGTGGTTGACAAGCCCGAGCCTGTACCTGTCATCACTCTGCCTGAAACTATCAATTAATTATACGAAATATAATATACTTGATTATCTAAATTACTAAAATATGTACTCTTTATTTACTCGACTCTATGTATAATACATTAAACTATTCACTTTAATCCTTTATTTATTTTTACATAAGATGGTTTGAAATTTGTGAATGGTGTTTTCATGTTTGCAAAGTTTTTTGCTTTTTTCATTGCAATGAAAATTTTTTATGAAATGAATGGAAAGTGTTGCGTATGACACACGTTGGTTAACTATTAATTACATATGTTGTAATAATTTACCATCCCCTGACAGCGATGTCGATTAGTCAATAATATCTTTATATATAAATATTTTCACTATCAATATTGTCTAGAAGATTCACTAGATAAGATTTATACAGACAGAATAATTTACGATGTGACTTATACAACCCGGATGGGTGTAAAGATCGCTAAATAATTAATCCTTTTTATCAGTCATTGCAGTGACAAAGTTTCCTGTCTATAATATTTCATATGAGAAGGTGATCTGCAGTAACGGTTTTAGATCTACTAGCATCCAGGGAGAGATTGCTTCGGCACCCTCTTAACTTTTAACAGAGTTAGTTGAGAGGTAGATGAAAAAACCTATATCATTACTTGACAATTTTGTTCCAATCAATTCTATTTATCGATAAATAAATGCGATCATAGCTTTTGTGATAAAACTTACAAAGCACGGAATATTTACTTGATAATCATAAAATTAAAGATTATATGATATTGTGATAAGTATAATTCAAAACGCCTGGTACAACCGCACAGCAAAATTTTAATTCGTTACTGTGGTAAAAACTGGAGGCGTTTATTTTTATTTTCAGGTACTCTCGAAACTTTGCTACGTAGTTTTGATAGGCGTAATTTAAAAATTAAAAACGCAATAACCAACACAATGTCGCAGCCATAGGATGGATTAAAGAGTCTAATATTTGTTAAAATTTGTATGAAATTTGATGTGGTACTTTACGCCCGATACGATATGCTCTACATCTGTGCCAAATTTCGTCGAGATCTGGGAGCCGTTCTGGTGATATCTTCTAACAGTCATCCATACATCCAAACTTTCGTAAGAATTAAGATAAAATATTGTTGTCAATACTTAAAGTTTATTATTTACATTCGATACATATCTCTTTACTATTAATATTGTGAAGAAAATAAACTAATACGTTTATATAATAATTTTGGAAAAGATAATTTTTAATTGTTTTCTGTCAGAATTTTTAATTGATAAAAATAAATATTTTAAATAAATTGATATTGAACTGTAATCGTGTGTTCGACTATTTTCTTAAAACTAAAAACTGTCATAGAGAAGAATGTTGATTAATACGGTGAAATTGTTGAAGAAATTAAAGAAAATTTAGAAATGTAATAAATATATTAGAAATAGTCATGTATCAGCTAATTTAATAACTCTAAAGTATGCCGGTTGTTTGATAATAAACTCTTTATCGTGTAAGATACAATATCTTTAAGCTTTTTATAATACAGGATCATAAATTGTACATACGTGTATTTGGAAGCGGGGAGGTGAGCATTTATTAAGTCATATAGTACTTATGTGCTATGGCACAAGTATTATCATAAAAATATTAACAGAAATACTTTAATAAGTATATGACATCTTATCTCTATACGACTATACTGTCTACACAAGGAGTTTGTGTTCTACCAAAGAGGTGGCATACTGGCCACCAAGACCTTTGCCTTTTTATTAAAGGAAAAATATAAATGTGAAAGAGTAGAGAATCGCGCGGGAAGTTAACAACGAGAAGTAGTCGCTAATAGTGATTGAGAGAATTATTATTGTAAATATCTATAAAGTTATAATATAAGGATATGTAACAACGAATAAACGCATTTTGTCTGTTATCATTTATACACTTATAACAATTAAATCTTTTACAAAAATGGACTGGCTCACCTTGTCCACAAATCATAGAAAACAGAGGCGGAGTAGGAATAATCTGCATTTTATGTGATGAGGTACCGACTAGATCTTAGTCATCTACCCCATCTTAACGTCTTATAAGCAACGGATAGAAAAGGGAAACATGTTTATTTTAACAGTAAATTTGACTACTGTTCACCTTGAACCAACTAAGGATGTTTCAACTAGTGGTGTATGGTGCTTTGGCCCAACCATTGTTGGATTTAGCACACGGCGTCCGAAGCATGGTACTAAAGGCTTTGTAGAAATGTAAATATTGCTTTTTCTTTTTGGTATTATCATTGCTTGTATTTCTTTTATTGGTTTGTTGCTTGCTTGTATACTTGTAGTTGTAATTAGTTCCTAAGTTGAATGTTATATGACTGACATATTCAAAAGAACGAAAGTCCCTACAAAAAATGAACAAAAAAAACGGGATGTTCAAAGGAATAGACAAATATGCATATTAACACTTATTTATTTAGAACTTTAGATTTTAACACTCAAATCATTTTTAGAAGCGTCCAGTTGTTTGCGTCGAGTAGGATTAAACAGGCACGGGAATGACGGGGTTAGCGACGTTGACTGCGTCGGGATTGAAAGACGGGTCAGGTCTCTCGATAACCTGGCCTGGGTGCACTGGCGCGGGAGGTTTGATGGTCTCGATGACAACAGGGTTGCCGGCAACAGCTTTGTTCACCTTGATCAAAATGTGGACTAGGGGTGGCAGTTCAGGGACAGTAACGGCACCACCATCGGGAATGGGGAAGGGAACGATAGCGGGTCCAACGTGGATGGGTTCGTACTCGTCAACAATAGCGGGTCCAACATCGATGGGCTCTGGCTTGGCAAGGCCAAGGACTTCGAGGAGCAGCTGCTCAAGGGCAGCGGCGGTGGCGGGATCGGTGCTCGGGCTCTGGATGGCCGCGAGGATCTCCTGCACCTCGGGGTTGGTGCTGGCGATGACTGCCGGTGGCAGGACGCTGGCCGAAGCCGCGGCGAAGAGGGCGAATACGATGAAGAATTTCATTGTTGACTGGATTGAAAAAAAGAATTGTTAGAAAACAAAAATATAAAAGCGAAAACAAAAATGTCAGTTTTACTTACTTCAAGGTTCACTTGGTAGTTCACCGAGGTATTCAATGCATTACTACTATTCGACAGTGTATTTATATGTAACATTATCCATATTGTCGTTTAATCCAATTTAGATACGGGGAATTTTATGCTTTTTAATAAAAAAATTACTTTGATGCAAGCTCGATTATTTTATTGCATTAGAATTCCTTACCTAATTGGAATATTCATGTTTATATTTTTTATTATAATAGTATATTTTGGAATAAACATTCAGGATTTTTTATAACGATATTCAGGTACAGAAAAATATGTTAAATTGGACATGATGTGATGACAGATGTTTTTATTGTAAAATGTTGTAGATGAGTTGTTAAGGCGTTTTCCTTTTCGCTAAGAAAGGGCTAGGGTCATATAAAAAAACTCAAGGGAGAAACACAATCTAGATATTAATAATAATTATGATAATCACAAGGCCTACAAGAAGTGGAGAGAGTTTTTAAACAATGATGATATCATCAACATAGGATGTTTAAATTACAAGTATTCATAACATTTAATTTGAAAACCTGGACCCCGAAAGATAATAAGATTGGAAGAAATATGCTCATAACGAAAATGGACTCTTTCCTGTAACTTCAAAAAACATATGTTTTATTATTTTTGTATATTTTGAAGCGAAGTTATGACGATAGTTAAGTCAAAAAGGACAGCTTGGATCATCTTTAATCTTTTAACACTTCTGATATATGACAGTGCGTCTTGATAATTCTTCAAATCTAAATTAGCGACTGATATCACAAATATTTATTACAGTGATCTATTCTTTGTCTGTTGCGTGATAATACGTCATTTGTCAATTATTAAAGGGACAAAAAAAATTGAATTAAAAATAAATGACGATCTTACGGGGTTCCGTAAACGAGGCCACGAGCATGTAATTATAGTAAACGACGCGGCATCTAATAATTGTAAGGAAGAAAACCCGACACTGTTACGGTGTATCTGCGCAACACTAGCCTTATTAAAATGTCAATATTTATGTCACCTCACTAATCAATCTGACACTTGACTTGGTAACGAAAGCGCGCCATTCTCTGTAAATGATTCTAACTAATTATGTCTAAAATAATGCATAAATGTAAGAAAATAGACACAACTCTTGGTAATAGGAGTGAGTTTATGCGTTTTATGTTATTACTAGCGATTGCTCACAACTCAGTTTTTGGGGAATTAAATAAAACAACTTAATAAGTAGCAAATATGTTCTTCCAGTCTATGTCCTACATCTATGCCTAATTTCAACAAGATCTGTTAAGCTGTTCTGGAGATACCTTCTAACAAAATCCATCCATACATCCAAACATTCGTGTTTATATTAGTAAGATAAGAAGTTAGATGTCTATGATTGTGAAAACAAGCATATTTTGATTCTTACAGATCTTTGTAGCATACGGAATAGGTACTAATCGTATACAATTTTTTTGTTTTTCATTCAAAATTTGCAATATGTGAATGAAATTATTAATCATCAACATTTTACTGTACATTTAATCTTCTCTTTATAATATTTTAATACCTTAGCTTCCGTTGAAACTTATGTATGGATTACCTTATAGTAAATTATATTTTTCATCGCGTATTTATCAAATTATTAAGATTAATATAAATATCCGGTTTGATAAAGATTCATTCAATAAAATGTTATGGTAATTGTGAGTTTCCACTGCCGAGGTAACTACAAAAACATTGTTTACATTCAAATACATATTTATCTATTGCGTAAGAAATGAAAAATTACGCTGATACAATTTTTAAACTTCGGCGTATTACGAGGGTGTCAGCTTGGTTACACCAGAGAACTATTGTTTACTGACGAAACCACGTGCGATCTGCTACTTACAAACTTCTTGAACTATCAAATGAAACAACATAGGTAAATTATTATATTTTATTAAAAATAAATCTGAAAAGTAACAATTATTTTTAGTACTTCTAGACATTATTAGTTAGAATCCTTTTGCGCGAATGGCGCGATAGCGTTGATATTTTAATAAGGCTAGTGTTGCGCCGATACACTGGCATAGTGTCAGATTTTCTTCCTAACACTACCTATTTATATTAATGTGAGAATTGGGTCTTAGCTTCTACGCTACGTTTGTTTTATGTACTCGTATATTACCAGTTGTAAATATCCCCCTACACCAATGTACTAAAAAGCAGCGACTAGGGAGGAGTGGCGGCGCCTGGTAAAGCGGGTCACTGATACTTGATGACCACGACCAGTCTGAAAAAACTGTAACGACGAAGAAGAATATTTATATTTTTTATCTTACTATGGCATGTCAACTGGACCTCACTAGGCCCGACATAGCAAACATTAGGACGGTTTTTATGGGGCTTTTGAAAGTATCTAACATGTACGCGGTAGTAACATAGATACGCACCAGAGGTCCTTAAACTAAAAACTGATAGCGGAACAGGAGGGCGACATAGCGCCGCAATAAAAAACTGTGTTTTTTATTCTTTTTATATATCTGTGTGCAGATAGACTATGTTTTTGTATTACACGCTGATAATGGTGCGGGCAAGATAATTATGAAATTAAAAATATGATATTATAAAATTATTAACATCCTGCCTGTTCAACTGGTCAAATATTATAACCTCATAGGAGCAAGAGATCAGTATTTTAGAACTCTTACCCTCTTCCACTATCATTCATCTATATATATAAAAGAAAGTCGTTTTAGTTACACTATTTATAACTCAAGAACGGCTTTACCGATATGGCTGAAAATTGATGAGGAGGTAGCTTAGAGCCAGGAGACAGACATAGGATACTATTTATTCATTTTTTTTCCCGAATTTATGCCTTGAAGGGCTGCTTTTTATTTAACTTACTAATAATATAAATGCGAATGTTTAGATGGATGTGATGTGGATGGGTGTTTGAAGATATCTCTAGAACGGCTGAACGGATCTCGATTAAATTTGGCATACGTATAGAACATAGTCTGAAAGAACACATAGGCTACACTAATTAAGTTTTTTTTATATATCCACGCGGACGGAGTTGCGGGCGACAGCTAGTTTATTATACTGACAAAAATTAAAACAACTGAAATTAGGTTCTTCATCGTTTGACTTTTTGCTCGGTTGATGGTATGGTAATTTCGAATAATGTCGGTAGGTTAACGATAGATGACTTATATGTCCGTTCCATTCCAATACAGTGCTTAAACTTTCTACGGAGTACTGAGGTATTTCGGGATTAATATTTTATTTTGACTTTTATTTGCAACACTGAATGTTCAGCTGGTTTTATTAAAAAAGTTTAGCAAAATTGCATCCTTGAAAATACATATACGTAATTACAAACTCTATATGATCTAATAAATGCAATTTAAAAAGAAGGATGGGTCGCCTTCTTATTGCTCTTTGTAACAGATTGAAGTCGGTTCAGGAGCTTTTGTGGTTTCGGTTAATGTACCGGTAACATTATGAACGGTTGTTAATTTGCTAACATAGTCGTGGACATGTTTTGGTAGTCCATGGCGAGTCTGTGTATTCGCGTTAACAATAAATCTTAATAAATGTAAAATGATGGATAATAAACAAATAAAAAAATAAAATTAAGTAATTATTAAAAATATATTTATTGCATTAGTGATCTTAAATTGAAAATTTTAACGTTTTCTTACAGATCTAATTCAGCTTAGTTGAGGATGTCAGGGAGAACAACAACGGGAGCGGGGAGGATGGGGGCAACGATGACGGGTTCAGCGACGACGGGCTGGTCGACGACGATGACGGGCTCACCGACTACGGCCTCCTCAACAACTTGCACTGGAGTGGGCGCAGGGGGAACGGTCTCAACGACAACGGGGGAGCCGGGCACGTTGGTGGGCACGTTGATCTTCAAGATGATTTGAACGAGTGGGGATTGAGCAGAGGGAGCAGGGATAACGGGGGAAACTTCTTGCTCATCAACAATTGCGGGTCCAACATGGATGGGCTCGTATTCATCGATGATAGCGGGTCCGACGTGGATGGGCTCGCCAACAATAGCGGGTCCAACGTGGATGGGCTCGTACTCGTCAACAATAGCGGGTCCAACCTGGATGGGCTCAGGCTTGGCGATACCGAGGACTTCGAGGAGGAGCTGCTCGAGGGCGGCAGCGGTGGCGGGGTCGGTGCTTGGGCTTTGGATGGCGGCCAGGATCTCCTGTACCTCGGGGTTGTTGACCACCACAGCGGGTGGCAGCACAGCGGCCGAAGCCACGGCAAGGAGAGCGAAGACTGCGAAGTATTTCATGTTGTACCTGAAAGTTAAATATTAAATTTTATAAAGAGCCTTCTAGCGATGGTAGCAAAGTATTATATTTACGAAAGATAGTCTATTTTGGTCTGTGATGTGAAAGTCATATCTCTCATATAAAACAAGTTTAACCTTTTTTTTCATAAAAGGTAGTGATGAAAATCAAGTTTGTTTTGTTTTATTTATCAATATAATTACAATGCAATTATAATTGTCAAGAATTAAAAGTTACATAATTGGTAATTAAATATTTAAGATATTCATATTGACTGTCGGAGGCGGAGCTCCTGGAAATAGAAATATTATTGTTATACTTACTTGTTAGTGTTTAATTAACTGTACCATTTGTGATCGAAACTACATATTTATAGGTGAATTACAAAAGATAAATATTGATAGAAAGACATTAGGTATATAATACAAAACGTATTTTTATCAAATTTATCTTCTTTGGATTATAATTCATACGACAAATTTTTATCATATTTTACGACTTTCATAAATTTGTCAATCCTTGCAAAATTATAAGCGTTGGTTATGTCTTCACGCTAAATAACAGTGGTAAATTGAACTTAGTAAAATCATGGAAGTAAGGGAAGTTTCAGAGGCATCTAATTATAAAAACGTTGTTGCCTGCATTACTTAATAAACGTTGAGGTATCTGTAAAGGTCCAGGATCTTACTGAATGAAATATAAGTGATTAATAAATAAAATTAAGAAAACAATAACGATCAACTTGACTACACTCGCACTTCCAAATCGATCATATAATTTATGGTTAGTGATAAGTTTTAGTAACAAAACAAACCGAAATGAGCAACAAAATTTTAAAACAAGAAGACTTGTGCGAAAGTTTTACATACGTTAAGCTTGAATCTTCTTCTTTCTGGCCTTACTACTTATGTGGGGTCGGCGCACAAGGTTTTTATAAACCTTAAGGTCGCATACCTGACGTCAAGCCTACTTTAAGCTAGAATCTACTAAAAAAAAAACTAACTATTACTACTCTTAATGTAAAAGTAAAACTAAGATTCAACAATACCTGGTTCACTTCTTTACGTCCGCCATTGTTTTTTTTAAAATACTGCAAAACTTTTTCCATTTATAGGTAAAATTTCTCACCAGATATATTTTACACAAATTAAAACGTTTCATCAAGGAAGTAGACAACACTCGTTATTGACCAGCACGGATTAAAGTCTCTGCGTATATCATAAATTAATTTTTAATTATCAAAAGTAATTTATAGTGTACACTTAAATAGTCTAAAGACGTTGATTAGACAGTAATTAATAAGATAACATTTTATATAAAAACTTTGATACAGTACAATAAAAACAATTAGTCGCAGGACGAAATACTCGGAAAGCCTGTAAGTCAATTAGACTACCTTAATTCAAAACTTACTTTTTACTCTTTTTACTAAACTAACAACTAACTATTTGCTTCTAGAATTGCAACATGAAATACTTCGCAGTCTTCGCCCTCATTGCCGCGGCTTCGGCCGCCGTGCTGCCGCCCGCTGTGGTGGTCAACAACCCTGAGATCCAGGAAATCCTGGCCTCCATCCAGAACCCGAGCACCGACCCCGCTACTGCCGCCGCTCTCGAGCAAATGCTCCTCGAAGTCCTCGGCATCGCCAAGCCTGAGCCCATCCACGTTGGACCCGCTATCGTTGACGAGTACGAGCCCATCCACGTTGGACCCGCTATTGTTGGCGAGCCCATCCACGTCGGACCCGCTATCATCGATGAATACGAGCCCATCCACATTGGACCCGCAATTGTTGATGAACAGGAGGTTGCCCCAGTCATCCCTGCTCCCTCTGCTCAACCCCCACTTGTTCAAATCATCTTGAAGATCAACGCCCCTACCAACGTTCCTGGCTCCCCCGTTGTCGTAGAGACCATCCCCCCTGCGCCCACTCCCGTGCAAGTTGTTGAGGAGGTCGCAGTCGCTGAGCCAGCCATCGTTGGCCCACCCTCTCCCGTTGTCGTTCTTCCCGACACTCTTAACTAAGCATAAACAAAACTGTGTTAAAATACAATACACATACGACATGCAAAATACCAGAATTTGTCAAAAACATTTTGTTTTTTAATGCAATAAAGACGTTATCATAAAAAATACAGGTTTTATTATTTAAGATAATTTATTACATAAGCTACATCCTACATATCCTATCATACATGTCCTACAATATAAATTGAAGCTTTAGGTCTCTGAAACGCTAATTTTCCTTTTTGCATAATAGTAATGTTGATGAGCTTTTGCAACTGTTACCCTTAAGCAGTTCCATCGTGTTTCTTGGGTTTAGGAACTCAGCTTTTTAGAAGACTATGACAATATACGTCCAGCAGTGGACAAATTTAGGCTGAGCATGATGATGATGATTATGATTATATAAAACAAAACTGTGTTAATGTAAGTGCTTTACACTCAGTCAGCTAGAAAGAAAAGAATACACCATCAAAAACCAACCGTCATCAGCTTGTTTAAAACTACAGGCTGCCTTTGTTATACGGAATTTTCTATAACTTGTAATGATAAAAACAAAAAAGGAATGTAATAAACAAAGTACCTATTTTAAAAAAATAACACGACGACGCAAAAAAAAGTAAACAGTTTAATATTATTTTATCTACAAAGACAGTGTACAGCTGTTAAGTACTGAATTCCATTCAGTGTTAATTTGTTCTCTACTTATTCTTTTTGGCAACGGTCAACTAATTTACCTACTCCAATTTTGCAATTCTGATATTTATTTCCCTTAATGAGTGGTTTAAATTAACCCAGTACTGTGAAACAGAAGCTGTAAATCAGCTTACAACTTGCATAACTAAGTTGCGCTAGTGAACCGTAACAGTCCAAGTCAGGCCAGGGCTATGCTATCCTATCCCATTTTAATAATAATAATAAACCAAGCATTTAGTTTCTCATACTTGTTACTAATATTATAAATGCAATGTTTGGAAGTATGGATGGAAATGGCTGTTTGTTAGAAGGTACCTTCGGGATGGCTAAAAATATATCGATTAAATTTGACATCGATATAAAACATAATCTGTAAGATCAGATAGGTTACTTATTAAGTTTTCTTTTTTAATTCCGCGCGAACGAAATCGTGGGCAATTGCTAGTACAATATAAAGGGAAGCGGAACTTTTTACGTAGTTACGGTAAATTGGTATCCGACTGTTCATATATAATACCTTGGAGGGAATACTGTAATTTGATCTCCTTCGGACGGGACTCGTCTCTCTCTACATCAGCTCACTAAACATCCCCACTGAAGTGACGAGGCCACAGTCAACAACATTGGCCCAGGGTTAGTTGGTTGACTTCACACATATATTTGAATTTCATCGTAGATATGTGTAGGTTACATATTTTCCTTCACCGTAAGAACGTCGGATAAATACAAAATATACAAAGAGATATATATATATACATAAAAAATACATATGTACAAGTACATGGCGGGATTCGAACCCAGGACTTGCAAAATACAAATTCAACATTATATCTTGACTATGTATGGCCTTTATTTATTAAGAATGCTTCAATATATAGGTTTCCCTTTCCAATTAGTTTGATACAGTCAATTGATTTTTATTCAACTTTCTTCCTTCTTCCTTTCAATTTGAATTTTTGAATTTGGAAACAATTCTATAGTAGACATTTCGTTTTTTATAGATAACGAGAAGTAATGCTAATTAGATATACTTACCTAGCTATAATATTACATAAATGTAAAATATAATAAAACGCATTGATACGTTTTGTTGATTTATTGCCGCACTCACAGTCGTTCAATTGTTATTGTTACTTATAATGAATCTGCAATAAGTATAGGTTTGATTGCCACCGTGAGTGCTTGTACTGTGTGCTTCTCCACATGTATATGGATAAACTGTTCGGTGCCTGGGCACCCCTGGCGGAGCTAGAAATTTTAGATATATATGTGAAATGTCACCGTTTACCTCAATACTAGCTCTACATTTGATAGAATGTCCAGAAAAAATCAAAATTCAATTCCTCAGTCCTTGTTAATGTATGTTTTCGAAATATCTAGTGTTCAAGATACATTTTGAACTTTTCTAATTTTCCATTAGCGATAAGACAAATAAGGAAGTGACTTCTATCTCAACTCAAAGTTCCCGAACGTAATTTAGTCTCTAACGAATATCATAAATTTATTGTTTAATGATCATTAACAATTTATTGTACACTAAAATTAGATAAATAGTAGATTAGACGGTAGACAATGTGATAACATTTCATATAAAAACTTTGAAAATCTTAGAAATAATATACTCAGTCGCAGTAGCTACAAAGAGAAAATTGTAAGTAAAATAACATCCCTAATAAGTGTACTTTTTCATTATTCTTTTATGTTTCTTAATTAATAGTAAACTTTCTTACCTTTCTTAAAGATCGCAAAATGAAATTCTTCGTTGCCTTCGCCCTCCTCGTCGCCGCGGCTTCGGCCAGCATTCTGCCGCCGGCGGTCATCGCCAGCACCAACCCTGAAGTGCAGGAGATCCTGGCCTCCATCCAGAGCCCAAGCACCGACCCCGCTACCGCTGCCGCCCTCGAGCAGCTGCTTCTCGAAGTCCTCGGCCTCGCCAAGCCTGAGCCCATCCACGTTGGACCCGCTATCGTTGATGAATACGAACCCATCCATGTCGGACCTGCTATCGTCCCCTTCCCCATTCCCGATGGTGGTGCTGTGACTGAAGTGGAAGCCGCCCCCGTGATGCCCGGTCCCTCTGCCAGCGCTCCTCTGGTTCAGATCATCTTGAACATCAACGCCGCCGCCAACGTTCCCGGCTCTCCTGTCGTCGTGGAGACCAACCCACCTGCGCCCACCCCTGTTCATGTTGTCGAGGAGGCTGAAGTCCCCGAGCCCGTCATCGTAGTTGACCAACCTGTCGTCGCTGAGCCCGTCATCGTTGCTCCAATCCTTCCCTCTCCCGTCGTCGTTCTGCCCGACATCCTTAACTAAATCCATACCGCTGCTTGTCATAACTAAATTATTATTGCAATAAAGATATAACTAAATTTGATATTTTAATTTTTAACCCAACCTATAGCTGACCTAAAAGTATGTAAATGTTTATATAAACATTTAAGAGTAACATGAGTAAATACATAAGAGGTATATACCTCTTACTCATGACTTATAGAAAGTTATATTTGTGTTGATCGTAACGTGAAAAATAGAATAAAAGTGGGATGCAAGCAATGTGGAAAAATTACAGGATTAATATGCGCCACACAAACCTTGGAAATAAAGAGGAAAATTTACAAATACGTCAAAACCTGTCATGATAAATGCATTTTTATTATAACTAGTTCACTTAAATGATAGCTACCATCAGAAGCATATGTCAGAACATTACTGGAATTGGGGCTTTCTCAATGCGTTCCACAGTATTGCGTTACTTACGAGGCTCTTAGCCCACTTGTCCAACTAAGTTTATTTAAATACTAGATGCCTTACGCATGGTTGCTTTTGATTCTAATTCCATTTCACTATAATTCGAAACTCTAGGACTCAGAATAGGTTAACTAATCGCGGCCTAACTCGGTGTTAACCGGCTAATATTCTGCTAAAAGAAGTTTTGGGACATTACGTAAAGTCACGGTATTAGAATATATGTACATACTATGTATTAAAATGCAGATTAAAGAGACCTGATTAAAGATTCAAATAATGTTATATATAAAATTCTCGTGTCACAATTTTCGTTCCCATACTCCTCCGAAACGGCTTGACCGATTCTCATGAAATTTTGTAAGCATATTGAGTAGGTCTGAGAATTAGCCAACATCTATTTTTAATCCCGCGCGGACGGAGTCGCGGGCAACAGCTAGTAATATATAATATTATGAAAATTGTTTTAAAATAAGTATGTTCGAATTCAATTTTTTTTAATATAATTATTTATAGGTAGGAAACTAGCCAGCGTCCACCTGATTTGCCGTAATAGCGAAGCGAACGTAGCCCTTAGACTTCCTCAGTTACAGGTGTGTTGTCTCTCGACTGAGGATTGAACGTACAGATGGAGAATATTTCCTTTTCCTACAAGTCCCCTGCCAAATATACTTCCCCTTCCCATCCCTTTGTTAACTGCATAAAAACAACGCTTGTTCTACGACTTTTCATAATTTGTAAGATTTAATTTTCATGCAAAAATAAATATTAATTTAAACTCTATGCGCATTGCAAAAATTAAGTAAACAAGGGGCTGGGATGGGGCGGCGCGGCGCGTCCTTTTTGAATGGGACATAGACTTACAAAAATCAACACAGTACAAAAAAAACGATTTTTAATGTATTAAGTTATGTCAAAAGTCATAAAAGGAGCAGTCCTGCGAGGAGAAAATAACCGAAAGGAGGAGACCGAAATCTTCACATCCAGGTCGACCCCGCCGTGTACCAATGAATTTTACGGTTTTCTAATTTTATATGAATATAAGTTTACCCTACGTTGTTAACGTGAAGGAAAATATCATGATGTAACCAGATTATATTGGCGAATAAATTCAAAGATACTCGTGGAATCAACCCAATTAACTATCCGCACTAGGCACTCCAACTTGGGTGGGCTGATGACTGACTCCAATGGGCTCTCCATATATTTAGGTAATATCTTAGATATGTAATTCATGGTTCATCTCAGCTCACTATACGTCTCCACCGAGGGGTTCGGAGCCTACCCTAAGTTCAGGGTGATTAGGCCAGTCAACCACGCTGGCCCAGTGCGAGTTGGTTGACATCACGCATATGGAAATCGAAAAACACATCGGTACATGGCGGGATTCGAACCCAGGACCTCCAGATTGCAAGTCAAGTGCTTGACCCCTGAGCCACCGACGCTCTAAATCACGTTTGATTGATAAGTAATTAAATATAATAAAAATCATTAGTTAGTCTTTGCAGTAGTAACAGTAAAAAACAATATTTATAAAAACATCTTTATTGCGTGAAGAAGAACTTATTTCACATTGTTGACAAATTGTGATATGTAATCACATGTTGCGCAATATATAATGTATTCATTGCTTAGTTAAGAATGTCGGGCAGAACAACAGCGGGAGCGGGGATGATGGGAGCGACAAGCACTGGCTCGGGGACGATGGGAGCCACGATAGCTGGGTCAGCGATGAGGATAGGCTCGGGGACAACTGGAGCAACGATGACGGGTTCAGCGATGATGGGGCTGTCGGCAATGATAACGGAGTCGGGGTTCTCGGCCTCCTCAACAACTTGGACGGGAGTGGGCGCGGGAGGGATGGTCTCCACGACAACGGGGGCACCAGGAACGTTGGTAGGGGCGTTGATCTTCAAGATGATTTGAACAAGTGGAGATTGAGCAGAGGGAGCAGGGATGACGGGGGCAACTTCTTGCTCATCAACAATTGCGGGTCCAATGTGGATGGGCTCGTATTCGTCGATGATAGCGGGTCCGACGTGGATGGGCTCGCCAACGATAGCGGGTCCAACGTGGATGGGCTCGGGCTTGGCGAGTCCGAGGACTTCAAGGAGCAGCTGCTCGAGGGCGGCGGCGGTGGCGGGGTCGGTGCTCGGGCTCTGGATAGAGGCAAGGATCTCCTGCACCTCGGGGTTGGTGCTGGCGATGACTGCCGGCGGCAGGATGCTGGCCGAAGCCGCGGCGAAGAGGGCGAACACGATGAAGAATTTCATTTTTTATTCTGAAAGAGAGCAATACTCAGATAAATGTTCATGTTGAATTATCGTTTATATGATTTCAGTGTCGCTATTAATGTTGTAACTTACAGTGTTTGCCTTATTGTTGCTGCGACTAATAGTGATGCTTCTTAAAATTTCCGAGTTTTTATATAAAAAGTTATCTTAGAACATGTGCTATAAAAGAGATATCTTAATTTATAATTCAATAAAATACATATCGATCAATAAATTTAAATAATATGATAATATTTTTCATAAGAATTTGTAAGCATACACCACACGGATGAATCATTGAGCCTTTCGTATTGAGTTAAAACACTCAGAACAAAACCCTTTCGGATATATTGCAGTCATATTTTAAATCCTGTTAAAATAAACGAACACTTAAACATCTCAAACTAGCTATACCAGCTGGAAGAATACTGTAGGCTACATAACGTACACATAACTTGATAAATTCCGTAAACTACACATATACATTCTTTTAATCTGCTTTCTATTACAATCGTTCCAAAAACTACTCGTTTTAAAATGAGATATTAAACTATTTTCATTCTAAGAGAAATGAGAAGATGGGCAGCATAACAAAAGTCCTTGTAGTTCTCCTGAATTTGTCGGCAAATCTATATAAAGGCTTTGAAACTTCTTAATCTTTCTTTATCTTTTCTCCAAAAACCTATCCAGTGGTCTATGTTAATTTAGACGTTGTCATCATCTCTCTGACCTTATTTTACTCATGTTTTGACTTAATTCTACGACCTGTCACCTTCCTGCCACCAATCCAAACATATACATTTTCAAAACACTTTTGACGTGTTAACATTTTACCCGGTTTCATTTCACATTACATTAATTTCCCGATGCTCTTAACAAAATGATAGAGATCTATTCTATCATTGTGTTCATTGAATTTCTTCTAATCTAAGTGAACGACTGATAAATATTTTGTTGTTTACGGCGCACAATTGAACTTGTAAATCAATTAAATTATCTAAGATTAATTGTTTATCTCAAACATCCGTTAAGCTCAAAGCAATACTAATGTTATAAAAATGATACTAGCACTGAATCGCATATCTAATGTACCCACTTAAAAACATATGTTTGTAATTATTTGGTAAATTTATAATAATAACCTTAAATATACTTAAATAAGTTCCTTTGATAAATACTTTTTTAAACTATTAGGCACAAATATGTCACAGAAATTTTGTCTTGAACACAATAGATTAAAATTCAACGTGACTGATCTTCTTGATCTTAATAACATCAATTAATTTTATTATTTTAGTAACTATCTCATTGGCTATAACAATAATCAAAGACGTTAAATAATGATACATTTTGGAGTATTATAAATTTTTATTGAACTTGCAATAAATACTTAAAATTTATAATACATTTAATTTTATCTTTATATCCAAGAATATACAACATCCAAGGTTTTGATAAAATAATTAAACGTCAAAGGTTCAAGGTTTTTTACATTTCGTTACATGAGCGAGAAGGAAGATATATCTAAAGAGAACTAGACAGAGAGCTTAAACATTTTAATTACCAGTTCATGTTAAGAGCATTGCTATCCCATGATTTTGTTCTCTGTTATTTTTTTTTTAATCAAAATAGTATTAATAAGTTCACAATTAGGTATTATATATGTTTCCGTGGAAATGATTAATAGCTTCAGTGGCTTTGCAATAAACATTGTCCAATTATTATAAATAGTAAAGATTATATTACTTCCGACTTAAATAATTTCACATTAATTTTTACAAGGGATTAGATAAAGTGGGATTACTTTTCTAGCAGTCCGAATCGCGATAAAGACTCGTATAAATAGTAATGCAATAATCCATTCCACATAATTGTACAAGAAAGCAAATATTAAAAGGTTAGTTAAACTTACAAATCAATTAAATAAAATATAACATTAGCAAGATATTAGTTTATATTTTAATTGAGGCTATACCACGCTACAAATCAATTTGCTATAATTTTTCTTTTCTTTACAGCAAATATGAAATTCTTAGTAGTCGCCTTCGCCACCCTCGCCCTGGCCGTTGCCAGCCCGACACAGCGCGCCCTGGTGCAACCGGCTCCCGGCGGCCCCGCGCCCATCATCGACCTTGACAACTTCGAACCCATTGCCATTGGACCCGCCATCATCGACAACTTCGAGCCCATCGCAATTGGACCCGCTATCGTCAAGCCACCCACTCCCTCCTCCTCGTCTCCTCTCGTACAAATCATTTTGAATATCAACCCTAATGTTGCCGGGTCTCCCGTTGTCATTGAAGGTGCACCTTTACCCACACCAGTGCAAGTGGTTGAAGAGGCTGAGGCTCCCGAGGGTGTCATTGTTGGTGAGCCCGTGATCGTCAGTCCTGGCACGGCCCCTGAGACCATCAATGTTGCGTCTCCCGTGATCGTGGTCGACCAGCCTGCGGCCCCCGAGACAATAAACGTCGCATCGCCCATATTCGTGCCTCCCGTCGTCAGCCTTCCCGACACCCTCAACTAAATCTCAACATAACCGATAAATAATACAAATAATGCTGTGATTATTCTAATAAAATATAATTTTATTTGACCTCCGTTATAATTTTCGGTAGGGTTTATCGAATAAAGGTCTGGTAATATTATAAGATTATTTTTTATTATTTGAAGTATACGTATACTTATAACAATTTAACACTTTCTTTTATTTTATCATATGTTTAGTTCCTACTATAGCTTGCTCATGAACTATGTTATACATAGCAGTAGCCCGCAACTTCGTCCGCGCAGAATTAAAAAATCTAGAAATAAATATAGCCTATATCACCTGGGGACAGTGTACCTTCCCAGCAGAGAAAGAATTTTTCAAATCGGTTCAGTAATATCAGAGCTTATTCAATGCAAACAATCAATATGCCTAATAGAAAAACGTAGCAAAAACAATTATTGAAATCGTGAAAATGAAGTTGCTAAAACATTAATAATATTTAATATTTTCAGGCAACAACATATTATACTAGGCTGTGACAAAATGTCCCTAAACCCGGAAGTGCTTGTTAAAGTATTTCCAAGTAAGACGATAATGTACAATACACTAAATTCATTTTATCAAAATTTGTACAGGTCATGTAATTTTTGCGAGGATTATCCACCATAAATTAAATCATAATCATTGATAATTTTGACAACCATACTTACGATAAATGCATCATAAAATATGATAATTTCAGGGTTCCATAGTCTTGTTATGGTTTAAAAATTATAAATTTAGAATTAATAATTTATTGTAAAAGACATTTAAGATATATCTAAGTACATATTATATTTGAATCTCTTTAGTAATAAATGATGTGATTGAGTAAAATTATTTGTATAAGTGACGTGTGATCATTGTGAAGAACTACGAATTAACTAAGTAGGTTCTAAATAAAGGTTTTTAACAAGTACCTGCTTAGTTTATTCGTTAACGAATAGTTAAATGAAGTAATATAGAAGATTTTTTTGGAGGCGAGTTCGTCCTTGACCAATTCTTCAAATGCTTACATGTTTTGGCGCCTGTACGAAATTAATAGCAAATATTCATAATCGAAAAATCTTGCTACATATCTTTTATTGTGTCACCTAACTTTTGAGTGATTTTGTAAGATTTTACAGGACAGATTGTTTATATTTCCACAAAAACAAAGAATCTGAACTCAAGCTTCCTTATTGCTGAAAATAAATCTAGAGGTATGTAATATTTTGCCAGCAGCATTTAATAACCTTTTCTGACTTTATAACAAATACATATTTGTAATTCATATCGTAGTCACTTCGTCTAGAGATTCTTGGTTACTATTATTCATCAATTTATCTATTTCACTATTTAGATAGCTATAATTCTTCTTTGGAAATGATTTATAGCGTTACTTACTTAATACAGTCATTATTGTAGGTAGGAATCTTTATTTCCTCGCCATTAATCAAGAAAGTTAATAATCGTGTAATTTAAATAAATAGATGCTATTGTTTCTCTGTATTTTTTTTCAAAGCAAAAAAAGAGAAACAATAATATTTATAATAAATTACCTCAATCAAAAAACGCTAAAAAGAAGTCATTAATATTTTTAAGGTTTTTTCGCATTCCATTTTATTACTTGCGTGTTTTAACAAATTTTAAATAAGCATCTGCTTTTACCGATAGCAATAAATAAAATAAAAATGTAAATAAATAAGACTAATGTCTAAATTAGCATTTGGGCCTTCAAATTAACTTTTCAACGGATCGTGTATGTATCAATTCTTCTACTTGACGTTGATTTTCTTGCTACACTTCATCTACTTTTATTTTTGTAGTAAATATAATGGCCCTGGTCCCACTTTTCCAATTTAGGTATTAGACTATTTATATTATCATCCAGATAATAAAACCATAGATTAAGTTAGGTGTATCATTCTGTAACTTTATAAAATTGTTATAAAAAAATACTTTCATTCTGTTGTCACGCAAGAATCGAGTGAATTCTAATGTCGTTAGATGACATTGTGATACAAATTTTTATTATCTGTTAAACGTGAATGGATATTTGATATTTTATCTCGGACATAAAATGGACTTTGCGATCTTTGCCTTGGCACGTAAAGATGAGGTTATCTATGAAGAACCGTGCAAATAGACAAGCGAGTAATAGTTAAACTTATTCAAATATCAAGTAAACGAGATATAGGAAAGAGATTTTTGAATATTTATAACCTCAATTCTATTTGTACAAACAGAAAACTACGTTTTAGTTGTACTCAATATTACTAAAGTACAAGAAGAAAAATTCCTTTGACACCCATTTTATGTTTTAAGTTTCGAAATTATTCAAGCATATTTATATTCTTCTCTTTCATTCTCTCTTAACTTAAATAAATTTATTTTTAATGCCATGTTCCGAAGTGGAAGCCCACCACTGGGTACCTATTGTTTTTCTCTCAATACACTACCTTTTATTCCTAATGGAATCTCCTTATCTATATTAATTAAATTGTTGTTATTGTTGATATTCATAGACAATATGGAACATCGATTTACTCAGGATATTCCAATTTCTAAAATCCCAGTCAACCAACTTGCCAGCCAGTATTCACTACTAAATTATTTGTTTGTTCTTTGGGACAATTTAAATAAGTAAATGTCCCGACAATTATTTTATTTACAAAGAGTGGTATAGAATATTTTGACAAATAATATTTTTCACTTCGAAAAACTATTCCATATTGATAGTTCAGTCGTTTGGCGCGTGGGCTTAACATCAAATAGACACGTGTTTTGACAATCAATACCAAATAGTTAAACAAGTTATCTTGTTCATTAAACAGTAGTTAACAAATTACAAACAATTATATTGTAACTAATGGTTCAAGATAAAAGACACATTGGTTGTTCATATATGTAGAGTTTGAGTTTACGTTTATTTAATTTTTATAAGCTACTTTCTCCCACGGTTAGCAAAATAAATCTACATCTTAGTTAAACTGTAAAATTTTATTTCTATGCCAAATTTCATTCAAATTCGTTCAGTCGTTCGTGGTAATAAAATCCATTCAAACTTTGGCGTTTACAGTCGAACCTTTGTAAGCAAGAGTCGAAGGGACCGAGATATATTTCTCGTTTATAGAGGTTTCTCTCAAATCTGAGTTTCTCGCTTACCGAGGTCGGATCGGATAATGACTCTTGCTTATCCAGTTTCGAACGTATAATGGATAAGATTTTATGTATATTTGCAAATGTATGTACATATTTAAATTGCAACAAAAACCAATAATCTATAATATATCGGTACGAGGAGTACGTGGCTTATCTTTACTTTATTCAGATCAACTCATCACCATGACAAAAGCGAGTGCGTGAATACTTAATCAAGTTACTTGTATGACGGAAGTGAATAAATTACAAACAAAAAGAAACGACTTGCGTAATATTGACATTTTGATCAAATATTTTTATTTAAGACCATCCCTGTAAGTACCTCTACCAAATGTCACATGACCCTATCCCCCCTAGGCAGAGTATCCTTTGGAGATTTCTTCCCGAAAAGAAAGAGTACCACTAATTTTAAGTTAGTTTACTCCTTGGGGAAGTTTCAGAGATCATGAACACCGATCCAAAAAAACTAAATAAGTGCTATCATTTTTATTAACTGTTGCTACTCCGTCAAAAATTGCCCGCATTACCCTTTTTTTTACTTATCATAAGGTGGCAATTGCATATGCGTTGCCTACCTTTATTCGATAGGGGAGAGGATGCATAGAAAGAAAACATTTTCCCTTTCCATGCATCCTCTCATCCGGAAAGTCCACTTCCACTTCCCATCCTTCCCTTATAAGAAAAAGGATAGGAAAGGACAGAGGACTAAATTAGGCTTTCGGGACGCACACTCATCAGACAAGACGCGGAATTGCTTCCACTTCACCCCTATCAGTCGGGCAAAAATAACGTTCTCACAGTTTTATCAGATCAGTCAACCAGATTATAGATGTATATTATATGTTTTTACGGAAGTTTCGGCATTGGTTATTCACAGTACATTTTCAATTCTAATCTTGATCTAAACATCGCCTGATGACTCTCAAAGATAAGCATTATCTCAGGTTTTTCATAAGAAATCTAACGAACGCACCTCTTACTCAACTACTACTTCCGTTCAAGTATTTTAGTTTTATAATGTACTAGCAGTAGTCTGCGGCTCTGTCCGCGCGGATTTTAGAATAAAAACCTCTTATTAGCAGTCTGTGTATTCTTTCAAACTGTGCTTTACATCTATCTTTGCCAAATTTTAGCGAGATATATGCAGCCATTCTGAACCTTCTATCCATCTAAACATTCGCATTTATAATATTAGTAAGATTTAAATATACAAATTGTTTTTAATAAAAAATCGAGGCAGCCCAAAGTCTGTAGTAAAAATTAAGGTATAACTTTCGTTAATTTTTGTTGTACTCTTTGTTGATTCTACTTAATTGCCCTCAATTTGATAAAATTGTGTCTGAAATTTTTTGAAGTTTATCGACACCTTCGACAAATAAAGATACATCTTTTGTGAGACGCGCCCATGAAAGTATATAAATGAAAATTTGTTGTGTAAACTTGAAACAACATTACGAATACTACAATACTATACAATACTAAACATGCTCTATAGATTTTCTCGCAAACGATACAACAGGAAAAATTACAAACAGGTGTTAAGAATTTCAGCTTAAATTATAATAAATATCCTCATTATCACTTCGAACTGGCTTTATGTATTGTATAAAAATTATATATGGAAATATTTATATCTTTACACACGAGTACGGCGCGTGGCATCTCCATATCTTACTAATTATAAATGCAAAGTTTAGATGGATGGGGGGATGTTTATTTGAAGATATCTCTAAAACGGCTGAACGGATCTTGATGAAATTTGGTTAACATATAGAAAATAGTCTGGAAAAGCACATAGGCTATTTTTTCTTTACTTTATTTTCCCCGCATACGGAGTCGCGGGTGACAGCTAGTAAGACGTAATTGTGTATTATTTATGAGACCTTCGAAGCTAAATATGGTTTTTGTGACAATTTTACCACAAAGGTTACAAACTTGAAGAGGTTAAGTAAAATGTCATGATATTTAATGTA